TCACAGTTGTGTAGCTGTATTGGTGGCTTGATCATAGTTTGTTGGCCCCTTAAGTATGTCAGCTAACCACTAGTCTGTTTTGGCGAACATCACAAGTAGGATGGAAATCCAAAGGTCAACTAGAACCATTACCATGTCGATAAGGGACAACAACCTTTGTCCTCAAGAGTTGGAGTAACCAGTTGAATAAGGCCTCAACACGTATGGTAACGTAGGAGACAGGAGTTTCAGTCTCAGTTTGTACAACCATTAACTATGCAATTTCGTGCGCCGGTTTTAGGTACTATCTTTCGGATGCCCGTTTGGATGAACAGTAGGTGGACAACACGAAATTTGAAAGTGGAGTCGAATAGAAAATGGAAAATTTCAGTAGATTAAGGTGGTAAAGAGGCTGAGAAGATGCACGAACGTCACTGTTGATGACACTTCACCATATCACTCAGTGTCTCTAACCACCGGTCACCACGATCTCGAGGTCCCCATCCGAATCGCCCAATGCGACTCATATGACCGAGTCTTCTGGTTAGGGTTTTCATAACCTCATGCCAGGTCTTAGCTTGACCACCTTTGGCTTTGTTCCACCCATTGCTTCGCTTTGGCAAACATCGGGCGTCTTGGCGACCTAGTTGGTGATATGCATAACGCATGCCCCAACCAACGTAGTTTATGGAGGCTGACCACTTGCTCCAGTGGACGACCAGTTACCTAAAAATCTGCGCCTAACCACAGCACTGCTCGTCTCAAGTTGGCAAATGCCAATCAAGCTTTCTGTATGCGAGCTGACACTTCATCTGTAATTAGCCCGCCGAGTGAGATATANCTGCCCAAATAATAAAACTTACCCACTCGGTCTATTAATTCCCCAGTTAGAGTGAGGCTGAGTGCCGGACCAATCCAGTCTTTTACATTTTGAAGGTGCAAAACGTATACCGAGCACGGCTATGCTGGCATTAAAACTATCCAGAAAAGCTTGGAACCTACCTGGATCTTCACTTAGCAGTACAATTTCATCGTCGTCACCAGACCAAATCATGTGTAATTTTATTCAACTGCCTAGAACCACTTCCATAGTACAATAGACATGTAATGACACACTGTCTGGTTTTTGTGTAAAGCACTCTACTGATTTTCGTTCACATTCTTGAACCATAACCCCACAAATTAGTGGATACCTATTTACATATGGCAAAAAACGAGCACTTGGTACGCGCCTCGGTTCAGTTCCATAGGATAATATTTAATAATAATAATAATAATAATAATGTCTTCTATCTTCTTTTTTTATCTATTGAATATTCAAATGTATAGTCAACAATCCGGAAGGAGGGCCGCGCCCATACAAAGGCTGCCTGGGAAAATACAGAAATAGAGAAGACGGGCGGCGGTAGAGCGGTTCGAACCTAGGACCGCAAGGTCACAAGACGGTGACCTAACCACTTGGTCACCACCGCCCATGAGGTTAGGTAGCGATTCCTCCGCAATCGTAAAAATATCTGTAGCGTCGCAGGATGCCAAACCTACTACGCAAGTGACGACGATGATGCTTACCAAAAGTGAACAAAGACCAATTGGGAAGCACTCATGAAAAACCGGATTGTGGGACTGCGTCTAGTTGCACTTTGGGAACTACGAGCAAACTTCTAGGGGATCCACCTACGTTTGTGGGCAATTTGGCCAAGCACATTTTTGTAATTAGTAACAATACCAAGGATGAATACGGCCGATAATGGTACAGAAATATTCTCAAACTCGTGTGTTAAACAACCTAAAGGTAGTGCTATGCAATTGTACTTATAGCAGAACAATCAGCAAACGACGTCGACCTAATTAAGCACTGACGTCGTTTTTGAAGACTATCACCAATCAAATCACGAAATGTCAGCTGATTAAGAACACACAATGTAGGCGAACATGTTTTCCATGAAATCACTTTCAAGCTTATACAATCACATTTACATGAAACAACATTCAGTAGGATCAAATAAAAAAGTGCATGAGATTGTGTGTGTGTGTGTGTGTGTGTGTGTGTGTGTGTGTGTGTAGTAATGAGTATGAGAGAACTATAAATTGACACTGTTTATGTTCTGTCATGCACATGTAAACCAGCCAATTTTTCTTCCCTTGGCGAGGGAAGTTTGAGAGTTTGGATCAATTTTCGTAGTGCGCACTGTTTAGACTTCATGAGTCGGATGCTAATCGACTTTGTGGGCGCTAACGTCCAGACTGTATTGCACTCGGGAGGGTTGTTGTCAGACTCCAAAAATGATAATGAATGCCGAGTGTACGTCAACTGAGCTCCACTCTACTCATGTGTGAGCTAGCGTGGATTGCGTGTGTTCTTTGATACGCTGTCGTTCGCCTCACATACGTCAAACCACATGTGTGCACTTGAATTGATAGACACGCATAGATGAGGTCAAAAAGGAGCTTATCTTCATTGTGCTATCGGATGTTCCGTGACGTGGAGCAGCACATACAATTTAGCTCAGCGGGATTGAAGATGGATTTCACTGCAGCCAGTAAAATTCTACTTACCCTCTCAGCAGCGATATATTCCTGGAGTGGAAGTTTTGTAACAAGAACCTTCCCCGCTCATATACATTGAATGTGTGCTTACCATTGACAATGCACAGGGTGCACAAATTGATTGATTGTTCATGATGCAAAAATCTAATAAACCGAAACGTTCATACTCGGTTACGATAGCACTTCCTCCCCTCCCCCCGCGCTCCATCACACACACACACACACACACGTGTGAAGCGACTATCGGGTTGGTTTTAAATTTCACGATTTTCTCGTGCACGCCAAATGCAATAAAAAAAAAAACAAAAAAACAAAATGCACGCTTTAAGATTGAATACTCCGTAAATAGATCCACGCTTCGAACAGTCTGAATGTGTGTTGCTTCGTTACATGTGCACGTACGTGTACAATACGATTGGCCCAGTTGTTCAGTGCATTTTGTTTTCCATTCTCATCTTCCCAATCAGAAAAGTACACCGATTCATTACTCACCGATGAACAATATGCAACTGTTGCCATAAATAGAGCAATCCTTGCACTATTGCATGAGCAATCTGAATAATGATCGGTTCGGGAAATCGACCAACACTCGGTAACAAGATGTCCAAACTGCCAGCGTCCATGTACTCCGAATAGATACTAATTGTATCCTCCACATGGAATGTGCCATAATATTCCACAATAAACGGAGATGAACAGTCGTATAGGATCTGGACGACCCGGGGGTATCAGAAAATAAAGTGGGAAACGGAAATCCGGTGAATTGTG